TTTCTTGAAGTATCGTTGTCTCTGAATGAATTTCAAAACAAGTTCATCAGCGATCACTGAACAAGCTCAGTGTATGATCGCTGGAACTGAAATTACAGATAMATAAATACATCGAAAGGAAAAAGGGATTATCAACAAATCAATGAGAGAGAGGATCAACAATTTTTTTTTACAATTATTCTTTTATAAATTTAATATTTTTGATGTCATCCCCTGATTTTAAATGTGTGTTATGTATCTTTTTGAAACCTAAAAATCGTATTTTTATTTTCTATTATAATTTTAACAAACAACTTATATGCTAAAATAATATTTATTTTAGGAGAATAAAATTTTGTATCAAATAATTGTGATAAGAGTGACAATTTTGTACCAAATTACACCAACCAATATATATACTTTATCGAGGATGGAAACTTAGTTGGTACACGGTATTGAAAGTTAAATATCATGGTAGTAACATTGTACCGATTTATTTAATTATTCAGTAGTTTTTGGAATTTTTATGTATTGAATATTAAACTTTGTAATTTCAACTATTTTGTTTGAATATTTGAATGTTTGTAAGTTTTATTACATGTAATTAAAAACCTTAAACATTGCATATGTTGTCTAAAACTCAAATAGTTACTCAAAATTAGAACATAATGACAAGTTTTAATATATGTAACTTAAAGTTGGTACAAAATCGATATCAACATTTAATAATCGAAAAAAGTTAATACCAGTTAAATTGATAAGAGATATAGTTAATTAGTATACAGTATAAAATTTTATACATCAATTATAATTAATCAGTAAACGGTATTGAAAAAAAAAAAACTTTGTACAGTACACGAATTCTATCCCTGGAATGTGATAGTAGAGATGAGTTATTATACAACAATTTACATTTGTACAACTAATACAACTTAATCTCAACCGTCTATTTAATTTGATGAATATGTAATTTTATAAAAGTTTTGATTGTTTCATAATATAAAGTATTAATCATTATTAATGAACCTTATTTATCTTTGATAAATATTTAAATTATAATAAATAAACTCTTATTATTTTTATAAATACATTAATTTATTAAATTGTATTAATCGTAGGAAAATGTAATGAATTATAATCAAAACAAACTCCATGAGTGATATGTAAAAGTTCTAGAGAAAAGGAGTAGTGACAAAACTCAATTCTCAAGAGGTTAAAAGTCGTCATCCAGAAAAGAAAAAGAAATATAAAATTAATATCCGCCTCTTATAAAATCCCTTGCTTTTTATTTTCAATTAATTACGAAAACAAACAAACATATTCTTGTGAACAATTGAAATTTTGCTTGCCTACAATGCAACAGCTTGATTTGGAATCACTTGTTGCCGGTGGCCATGGGAAGGATGCTTGCGAGACGCTTGTCGTTGAACATGGAGATGCGCCGGAAGATCCTGAGATTCCAGACAGTACTCTAGTTGAAGTTCCAGCTGATTTTCCGCCGGAATCGTTCTGGCTTTCCAAAGACGCCGAATTTGACTGGTTTGATCGTAATGCTTTTTTGGAGCGGAAGGAATCGACTAGAGGAAACTCGAATTCGATGAATTTGAATCCGAATGTAAACCCTGGCCACTCCAATCCGAATTCACAGAGGTATTCTGTGAGTTTGAAATCAAAAGCTGCGATTATAGGTTTGCCTAAGACGCAGAAGACGACTTATGTTGATTCGAAGCGTCGACAGTGTAAACCGGTTAACGTACGGTTGTTTCCAAAGCGGTCGGATTCGTTAGGGAAGGCTCCGACAACGGTTCCGGTGACGGAGCCGACTTCGCCGAAGGTGACGTGTATTGGCAGAGTTAGATCGAAGAGGTGTCGCAGCCGTCGGAGGTCATCTGCACAAGCTAGTCAACCGGAGAAGTCTGCTAGTCAACGATCCGGAACAAGCAGAGGACACAAAACTGGCTTTATGTCTCGTATAACGTCGTTATTCCGTTCTGAAGGTTCTCGCCGTAGAAAAAACTGTAAATCGTCGGAAAAAGTCAAAGAACCGGCGGAAAATCCTGCTCCAAGGAGGATCTGTGTGACTGTTAAACCGGTTAACAGTGAACCGGGGACACCATCTGAACCACCTGCTTTAGGAGGAATGATGCGGTTCGCGTCAGGTCGCCGACCGGAACCGGAGTCTTGGGGAGGTTCCGATGATGACGTGGCTGGACGTCATTCATTGGATTCAGGACGCCATGCATAGGTAAATGGGTGGTCCCACCTGGTGAAGTTTGTTTAGCTGACGAAAACTGAATTTCTGTGTGCTGGAAAATAGTAAACCAAAGCGGGTTTTTTTTTCTTTTTTCTTTTTTTTTTCTTGTCGAAAATCCTTTATCCATATCGAGATTGCTAAGGCCAGAGTAGTATTTATACAATGACGCGTTTTACAGGCACAGAAAATTGTACATTATTTTGTATTTAGTAATTTCGTCTCTGGAAAATGGATCAGATTTCATCGTTTTGTACATGTAAAACAGAGTGCTTTCTGGGTTCATTTGGTAAATTGACCCGAAATTAATTAACTTTAAATACGAGGTTTTTTAAAATTATAAATAAATTTAAATACGAGGTTGAGATTTATTATTTTAATAAAAAATTGAAGTAAATATTTATCAAGAATTTTTGGAAAAAAAAAATGATCATAACTTTACCCAAAAATGTGTTTATTATGTTTGAAACTTTATCTTTATTATAATTATCACAAGACAAGAAAAATATATTTAAATCAATAATGTCCTTACATTTGTCAAAGGTTTTTGATTTGACATTTATGTTATTTAAAAAAATATAAGATCGTTTATCAAGTCGCCATCACCTTATTTGATGAATATGGTAAGGACCAATAACTTATCCGGTAAGAACGAGACAAAGATCAAGAGTCTTATTCGGTAAGGGGGATGACTCTTACCATAGTAAGCGCTTATCGGGTAAATTATTGCATACGATGTTGTTTTGGTGGACTAAAATCTTACTGGGTAAGTAAATGATAGTGTTAAGTTTTACCGATAAGCATTTACCGGGTAAGTGTTTGGTAGACGGCCTCTAAATTTATTTTAAGGTATTTGATTTAGAGATATATGAGTCATCGATAAAGTATAAAATCTCAAGGTGAAGAAAGTGTATTATGAACGTTTTTGTAAGTAATAGATATGTTTTATGTTGTTGTTTCCGAAGTAAAACATGTATTTGATTAGTTAATTATAATGTGGGTTGAGCAACATCTTTTTGAATTTACTTTAATTTTAATATAACATTTCAATTTTGTTGAAAAATAAAAGTCGATAACCTTGTATGGTGTATGCTATATGAGAAACAAGGCCGTACACATAACTCGACAACGAAAAAGTTGGATTCTAAGCTTACTTGGGTTTTTTCTTGATCTGTTCCACTAGTTATATTTTTATCTGTGATTGAAAATAAGAGAGTAACAGAAAATTCATATTTTTAAGATAGATATGATTTGGTAAGTTGTTTCAATCAAAACCAGTTCACATGCCTGTACAATGCATAACTCAAATCGAAGCTTAAATATCAGATAAAATAATTATGACTGTTGTTTTTGTTGGTCATTATTATTTGGTAGATGGTTTTTGGTTTTAGGTTCTCTTGTTGGTGGGTGCCCTTGGTTTCCATTTTTGACCAGGTTTTTTCGGTTTCCATTTTTGATCTGGTTTCTTGGTTTTTCCTATTCTTATAATTTGGTGTAATTTATTGATTTTTAATAAACCTATTTACCTTTAAAAAGAAAAATTGTGACTGGGTTAGGTAAAAAGTTTTTTTTATTAACCTGGATATCCAACTCGTTATGCGAGCCAAATCATCTCAGGACGACCACCTGCTTTGCAGATAGTTCAGAGTCACCTCATTTGAACCTCTGTAGCCATAAGAGGATTTTTATTCCTCTTTAGATTTAAACTTGAGACCTTCTGATACCTTTGACCTTTGAAGTCAAACTCAAACCAATCAGATACCACGTTGTGGTTAGTTAGGTAAAAAGTTATAAATAGGGGAAAAAAATTCCAACATGAAAAAATCGTTTTTATTTAATGGACGTTACTCTTTGTGATTGGGGCAATTTTCCTTTGTAGCCGTCTAATTTTGACTTTAAGTTATAAAAGGTTGACCACAAGCCACAAGGCATGCTGGCGTCAAAGGGATACAAACCTAAAGTGTTTTGAATTTTATCTATTCGTATTTATATTCTGGCTAAAAAATCATACTATGATTTAATAATAAATTAAATGATGACACCAACAGTATATTTAGGATTTTTTGTCAAATGATTTTTAAAAGTGTATAAAGTTATCTGATATGTTTTTAGTTCAATTTTATGGTCTCAAATGATTTTTTTTTTGTTTTTAGTTGATTTTGAGGAAATTTTTATGGTAAACTGAGACTAGACATTCTCTCCCGAAAAATCAATCCTAAGTTGTCCCCAGGGCCGGCTTTGGTCACGTGCAGCCCGTGCGGCCGCACAGGGCATCAAAGCCTAAAGGGCATCAAGTTGTTATTTATTACTAGTTTTGGGTTTAATAATTTGAAAATTGGACAACCGAGCTTTTAACTATAAAAATAGGCCCAAGGCCTAGTAGTGATGAATATTGAATACATATGGTTAGCCGGTTAACGCCATCATTCCAACAACTCATCTAATTTCTATTGTTCTTTAAGGCATGAAGTTCTCTTTTCAGCCGATTAACGGTCATGAAGTGAGATTCAAGAAATCAAAGATGGAAATCTCAAATGACTGACTTCTACTGTTGATTGAACTTACCGAGTTGCTGTGTGAGTCATATTATGATTTATGAATCTTTAAATCTTCTTGCAAAAAAAAAACTAAATTTCTAACTGATTATTATAAAGTTGGGTCATGTGGTCATGTGGGTTACTGACCTACTAGGCTAAGGCTAAGAGACTTTTGTCATTTTGATAATGGGTATTCCTCTTACATATTGAAATATCTGAGAATTGCATTTTTCAATGCACATGAGCACATTACTCTATCAACATAGCTGGAGCACACTGCACAACATTAACAACATATTGTGATACTGTCTTAATTATTGGGCACTTGTTCTTTGCAATGCACAGTAACATAGATTATGAAGTTTACAATTTATTATTGTTCTTTTGACTTTTATTTACTTTAAGGTTTGCCATTACTGCATTAGATTTATGGGTCGTTTGATTGGGTTTTTTTATTAAGTTCTATATGGATAAAGTTGTCTGTATGAATTAATCTGTTTGTACAAGTTGGAAAAAGATTTTGTTATGGAGAGTTTTTTCGTAAATGTAAGGAGCGTTTTTTCAGTTTGAAGGGACATGTTTGAAAGAAAAAAAACTTGACTTTCTATATAAAGCTCCCCTAAAAGATCATTGGATAAGTTACTTTCTATATCATTAAGCCACTACGAAACAGTCATGCATAGTTGAGCGAATAAGTTGTTAGTTCTATTAAGCTTATTAAGCTGCTAACAGATAGACCCTTAGCCTTTAGTCATTAGACCTGTAACTTTTGAGTTTTACTTTTTGCTTATTATGACAGTAATTTGGATGTAATTTACTATTTTAGTTAAAAACTAATTATAGTTTTCATTGTCTTTTAAGTCCTATATATTGAAATAAAGTTTCTACTTTGCTAATTTCAATTTAGAAAAGGGAAAATTGGAAAAGAATGAAGCACGATCTTAATCTAGGATTTATCCTTTTATCATTCTATATTTTGTATTCGGGGTTTTGATTTTTATATCCCCTCCATTATTATTTTTAATTAATAAAAATCAACATGGGGGATGAGACACTTAACTTGAATAGGTTCTAAACTTTTTTTAAAAATCGCATGTTTCGTTGACTTAACAAAATAGGCTTAGGGACATTTTTTATTATTTTCGCACAGGGCATCAAAAATCTTAGGACCGGCCCTGGTTGTCCCATATCCCTCTCTACCTGAATGATATTAGACCAAACTCCACTTAGGGGCCATTTACTAAATGTTTACCTGAGTAAGCATTTACCAAGTCACATTACCTTACCGGATGAATATGACAATGACCAAAAATCTTACCCGGTAGGAGCAAAGGCAAGGACCAATAGTCTTACCCGGTAAGTGATAAAGACGACTCTTATCACGGTTAGCGCTTACCAGATAAATTATTACATAGAATGTCGTTTTGGTGGACTCAAATCTTACTTGGTAAGTAAACGATAGTGTTGAATTTTACCGATAAGTACTTACCGTACAAGTGTTTAAGTAAACGGCCCCTTAAAGACTTGGAGTTGAGTGTTATTCCATTTAACCCACACTATTCAATGATGATAGAGCACGGGAAAGTGAGAAGTAGTACAGAGCAAGACTTTCAGAAAAGTTTGCGAATGTTCTTATTTTGTTGAAATGACAACGATATGGTGGAAAAAGTACAAAAATAAGTTTTTATTAAGGGTTGTTTACTAAACGATGATGGCGACAACAACGGTGGTGGTGATAGCGACGACAGTTCTGTTACAAGCAACAATGGTGGCAACGACGATAGTGCTAGTGATGGTCGTGGTGGTGAAGGTGGTGAAGAGAGACGGGGGCAACGACAGTGGTGGTGGTGGTCATAGTGATGGAGGTGGAGGTAGTAGTCAAGGCGAAGGTGGTAGCTGTAGTGGAGGCAATGGTTGTAGTGACAACAACAACGGTGGTGGTGGTGACGATCGTCATGGTGGGATATAATAAATTAGAGTAAATATAAAGACATAATAGTCTTTGTCAAAATATATAACGAAATGGATTTGGATTTTTTTTATACTAAAACTCAAAAAAATTAAATTCCATCATAGTAGAATTAAAATTTTGTACTAAAACTCACCGAATAAATGTAATTTGGTCAACGAAACTGATCATTTTAGTAATCCAAACCCCAATAATTTTCTTCATTTTAAATAATCCGTTGAAGATCAAATTAAATTCATTCATAATGTATATGTAAAAAACAGCTATAATCAATACAATATTAAATTCTTGACCTCCAATTTTGAAATCGAACTAATATATTCATTTTGTGGCCCTCTAAAATCTAAATCCTATAAAATATATGATTTGACTTTGAAATCAAAGTCCTAAATACATTTCAAATTCAAACCCGGCGTGGGTTTAATTACATAATTAAAACGTCAATAAATTCTTTATTTTCACTATTCTTTTCAGGTAGTTCTATAATTTTCTTAATAAATATAACAACTTGTTTGTTAACAGTTTAATGAGCTTAATGAGAATTATAACTTATTCCGTCAACTATACATTATTGTTCGTTAGTAGCTTAATGATATAGTAAGTGACTTATTCTGTTATTCGGTAGATTTCTAGAGGGGTAGCTTTATCCAGAAAATCAATTTTTTTGCAAACCTACCCCTCATAATTAAAAAACTACATTCAGAACAAAAATCTTCCTAATGTATATATGCATATTAATCTACACAAACAAGACTTAATCGAAAACCAACCAAACAATCCCTAAAAGATGTTTGACAGAAGAAATGGCCTTGATGTACCTCACCCTCGTCTTCAGTAAGGTATGTTCTTTCTTTTTTGGGCAATAAGTCAAAAGTTAGGCGGATTATGGTACTCAATTTTTTTATCGATGTCAAAAAGTCAAAATCAATTTGAGAAACGGGTTTTGATGCATTTGTTGGTTTTCTTTAATTACATGCAGAGTAATTGTCACGTCTCTTTCAAGAAAGGAAACATAAACCGACTGAAATGAAATCTTGAAATTGAAATTCAGACAACTTATTAGAATGTCAACCGACAAAATTAAATTCCGTCAAACCCACCGTTTTTATATCAACAGGGTTAGGGAATTGATTGCGTGTCAAAACTATCAGTTCTGTTAAAGAAAACGTAAAAGAACTTATAAATACTTTTCTTTTCAAAAATGTTTTTCAACTAAAGAAATCATATAACTTTAGAACCGGAACCTAAGGGGTTCATTTCATTGACGGAATTCATAAAGTGACGGGATTCTTACAAATAATTAAATAAAAAAAATATCACAATTCAATAGCTCGTGATTCGGAGTTGTCGACCTGTCATTTCTCGACGAATGTCCCGTGGCAGCACCATGCAAGTTTTTGGGGCCGTTTACCAAACGCTTATCTGGGTAAGCGCTTACCAATTCACATTACCTTACCGAATCAATAGACCAATAATCTTACCCGTAAAAACGAAGGTAAGGACTGAGAGTCTTACCTGGTAAGTGACGGCGACGACTCTTACCACGATTAGCATTTACCAGGTTAATTGTTGCATACGATATCGTTTTGGTGAACTAAAATATTACCCGGCAAGTAATTGATAGTTTTAAATTTTGCCGGTAAGCACTTACCTAGGTAAGTGTTGGTAAACAGCCCCTTTGTTCCTCTTGGAAGCACCATCCCTATTTTTTTTAATAATTTAAACGGAAAGAAATTCCCAAACAAGAAACTTGGTTACCTTCMTACTTGGCTCCGTTTTCTTCGAATAAAAATTACAAAAATAAGAGTTTATTGGGCCTAAGTTATCCAAACTTGAGGCCCAACGGACAACATGTAAATAAATTATATAGGCACCTCCAAAAATCAACATGTGTTACAACTTACTATATACACACACATACACACACGTGTGTACGCACACATATATAGATTTGGGTTCACATGAGACCAACTTATTTTCGTGAGAGCCGTGAACCGAAACTGCCTCGGAACTGCCAGTTTCGAAACCGGAACCGATATGAGTGGTTCCGGTTCCTAAAATACGGAACCGATTGAGAATGGTTCCGGTTCTGGTTCTCAATTTTTCGGAACCGTTACCTGCCGGGACCGGGTACCCAAAACCGACAGGTGCCGTGAACCGGAACCGACGAATACCCTGTATTTCTCAATTAAAAAAAATTTAATTAATTTTTTTAATACTAAATTTAAATTAGGTCAAGAACTTAAAACTTTAGATTAGATTTTTGGTCTCACCTCTGCGCCTCATCGATCCATACTCTCAGGCCTGAGGCCTCTCATGGATCGTCTTCATCGACTCATAATCGTTAAAATTTGAACATTTACAATTATAGTATGTAATCGTTAAACTTTCAACATTTTCTATTAGTCTATTATGGTTTGTAATCATTAAACAATATTTGTAACCATTATTCTGTATAATTTGTATTCTTGTTTATTTAGTTAGTGTTTTGGCAATTTTTTATTTTTGATTTCTAAATAACAAAATTTTAATATTTTAGGAAGCGGGTACCCGGAACCGGAACCGGAACCGGTTCCCGGCGGTTCCGGTTCCAAAAATTCATGAACCGCTCTAACTGGTTCCGGTCTCAAGAACCGCCGGTTCCGGTTCCGATTCCGGTTCTATCAAATAGATTAGATACCCGCCTATGCTCACCTCTACAATCAGCCATGGAAGTGGGTCATTCTCTATGTGCTAATGCACGTGTTTCATTCTTCAATCATCACAGGTTCAACCATTTTGAACGATTTCAACCCAAGGAACCCATTTACTTGAGTAAACCTCTAATTATTAGAAATTACGTGGTTGGTGATGCAGATCGGAGAAAAAATGGGGAGGAAGATGATGACTTGAGATGCCGATAGGAGGGGGAGATGAAGATCGGAGATGGAGCCAAAGTGGTGTTTAATGATGGCCAAAAACCGATCCCGACGTAACCGGTCCCGATCGAAAAGGGGAAGACCGGTCAAGGCAATCCATAACCGGTTATGGGGTCCCGGTCCCAACCGGTCCCAATATTAAAAAAATATTTTTTTAATAATATATATTTTTAATACATTATTAAATTTGTCGTACGGATCACTCAAATACACTTTAAAATTACGTTTTATTATAATTAAAATTACAGTGTCTTACAAATATAGTGAGAAACCGAGAATTTTGAATGTTTTTTGCTAATTGAGAACTTGATATGTAAATCTCTCAACCTTGTTACATATTTATAGTGTTTTGAGAAAAAAAAAAAAAACTGTCAAAAACGGCTACAAACAGCTAAAATTTAAAAAAACACGGCTCTTTTTTTTAATATTTAGGGCCGGACCGGGCCGGTTTGGTCATCACTAGTGATGTTGGACCTCGGTGGGAAGGAAAATGGAAATATGATTAGGTGGGTCACTGTAAATAAAATATGTGTGAAAGATAAAAGTAACACTATACTATTGTTGTTTTTTTAAATATATAATATTTATATACGGTAAATTAAACAAATAAACTCACACTTCCTCCTCATTTTTGGTGAGGTTTGAATCCTTAACTTTCTAGAAGGACAAGAACTCACATACCGTTAGGTCAAAGACCATTTGATAACACTATACTATTGTTTAACTAAAGGTAACATAAAAGTTGTATTTATAGATACGCTTAAAAAGTTAAAAAGTTACACAAATTCCAAAATTATAGCATGATTCTAAGAGTCGATACTTACACCACAACATAAGACGTTATAAGTAGTGATAAACCTTTGATTTCATAATTGGCAACAAATTAACAGTAATTAGAATAACTAAAACATCTACAACAGTTATATTATGATAGAAATTTTGGAGATTTATGAATTCTTTTTTCTCCAACAACTGTAATTTTTGCTACCGATAAAAAATATTGAAGTTAAATATTTAAGAGAAAATATTTTAATGTATTGAATATTTTAATAACATAATTACTTAAATTGCTAAAATAAAGTAATTGAGCGAAGTTTGATATACCTTCTTTAATTATTTTTTATATACTATCTATGCTATATTATAAAGCATTTGACAAAAACTCTTAAAAACCATTTTTATGCTTAAAGTACTGTTTATTGATGCATATTACTTAAAATTCAAGATTACAAGTAAATTGTGTATAAGTATAACTTATTAAAGCTTTATGTTTAAATTCGTGTAACTAATTACAAATAAACATAATCTAATATAAGATAAAGATCTCATTTTAAATTTAAAATATCTAAAATAAAATTAGGATAATCATTGAGTTCTAACAGAATACTTGATTATTATCCTTATAAAAAATTATAATATTAAACCTAAATTAAAATACTTTGTTACGTAAAATTAAATTATAATAAAAAATTTGAGTTAAAAATAGTCAATTTGATATTAATATTCATATACTCTTTTTACAATTTTATGAATTTTAAAATTTATATTTTATTTAAAAATAAAAACATTATCGTTTTCTCAAAAACACATAAAACCGTATTATATCGATATAGATAAATAAGAAAACAAAACATTTAAAATTGAAATATGTCTTGATATATTACACGATTACCCTTATAATATTTTATAAAAAACACTATATTACAACGATTAAGAATACTTTAAAATACCTATTAATAAAATATTCCCATCATAATTAATTCGGGTTTTTGTTACCAAATTAAGAAAATACAAAAGAAAAAAAACATTCATTGTATCTATCCACAGAAATAATATCTAAATAATAAATATTTTTCTCTAAAAATTAATTATCATACATATAGCTATGATTTTCATCGTGAAACAAATCAAACAATTCAGGGCCGTTTACCTAGGTAAGCGCTTATCAAGAAACATTATCTCACCGGATGAATATAGTAAGGACCAACAATCTTATCCGGTAAGATCGATACAAGGATCAAGAGTCTTACCCGGTAAGTGAGGGCGACGACTCTTACCACGGTAATCGCTTACTAGGTAAATTGTTATATACTATATCGTTTTAGTGGACTAAAATTTTACCGATAAACATTTACCGGGTAAGTGTTTGATAAACGACCCACCAATTAATAAACAAGTCAAATAAAGCAATCATCAGCAGAAAAAATAACATGGAAGTATTTGATTTTTGTAATATCAACAACATTCTTTTATTACAAACATGTAAAATCAACTACTTTTTAAAGCTTAAAAATGAATAGTATCTTTTTATGCATAATTGAAGGCCAGTTTTCGACTCTTGAAGAACAGAAAAAACCACACCTCTGACCCATCGATGAACCTTATTTACTGCACGGTGGCCGTTGATCTTGCTTCTTGAACCAAAGCTGTTCTTGCTGACATTATACTCTTGTTCCCTAAAGACGAATCAAACATGCTGCAATCTATCCAGTCTTTCAACAGATCTTCTTGTTCCCATATGTCTGGGATCCAAACCCGACCCGCCATCTCCAGCCGGTGCCTCTTTAGCCTCTCCCTTCCACTCTCCTCCTCCACCCCTGGTGGTGATGCTGTTGAAACGACGTCGTCGTCTTTGTCTTCAAGATTCTTGATGTTGAAGCCATGGTTGATCTTGCGATCTTGTGAAGATGAGGGTGGCGCATGGTCAGGAGTGGTTTCAAGATTAGGGTTTTTGTGGGTGTCCATTTAAATGCAGGGACGTCGTTGATGGATGGATCGTGTAGTTGCTTTTGGTGGTTTTGTTTAGTAATGAAGGAAATGGAGAGGAGATATGTGTGGTAGTAAAAGAGAGGTGGCGGAGTGAGGTGGTGGGGGGTTTGGGGGATGGATCGGTGTGTGTTAATGCACGTCACTCTAGGGTTTGTTTTGTATGGTTTTTGAAAAACGGGCCAGCACATTTAAGTTTTAACTTTGACTAAATTACAAAAATAGTCCTTGTGGTATTTTCAAACTTTAAGAATTGCTACTCCAATCAAAAATCATACGAGGGTCTCTAACGGTTAAGAGCATCTCCAACACGTCATTACAACAAAATCGAGTTTATAGGACACTTTTAATTTTTAAGTGTCATAATAGACTTCTTTATAGAACTTAGTTTATATGACCAAAATAATAAAGTGTCATATCTAAGGGCGTTGTAATAAGTTTATATGACGTTTTTTTGACGTCATAATAAGTTTTTTAGGACACTTTTAATATAAAATGTCTCATTAGTAACTTTATAGAACACTATTTGAAAAACCGTCCTATAAAAGCAAGTGTCCTATAAAAAATTGAGTTTATAGGACACTTTTGAGAAAATGTCCTGTAAAGTTGCTAATGCAAAACTTTGTATTAAAATTGTCTTAAAAAACTTGTTAATACGTCCAAAAGCGTCATATAAACTTATTACAACACCTTTAGATAGGACGCTTTATATTTTTGGTCCTATAAATTAAGTCCTATAAAACGGTCTATTGGGACGCTTAGAGATTGAGGGTGTCCTATAAACTCAACTTTGTTGTAATGGATTCTTTAAAATTTAATCTAAAATGGATATCTAAAACTCATAATATTCGTAGATAGTTACATTCATCTTCAACAAATTCTTTATTTTAGAGAATCCCATTAGAGCAAAAATATGCATAAAATCTTCATTTTCTCCATTTTAGAGAATTTGTTGCAGATGCTCCAAGATTTACCGTCAAATATTTTTGATTTTTCTTCAAACTCAGACACATAATATTATGCATAACATAATTACTTCAAGAGCACTTGGTGTTTAGATTCTAAATGAACACAAGAAAATATGAGCATCAAGAACAATTATTTTTCATATTACGAACGTCAAGAACCCAAGAAGATGTGAACATCAATGACGAAACTCGTGTATTTTAAATCAAAATGTGATAACTGACACAAATCCAAAACTCTAATATCGAACAAGAATAGAACAAATACAACAACGCTTTCCCACACGATTGCCACTGAATGTCAAAAAAACACAGAAAACATCATATCATCAAGAACCTTTATTCTTTTCTTCTCTCATGGCCAGTTGGAACACCACAATATAACAAAATCGATTTTATAGGGCACCAGATACGTCTAAAATGTCATAATAGATTGCTTTATAGAATTTAAGTTTAAACAATTGTAGTGATGTTTCCTTATTCGAATTGGGGTTCTCGAGTCAGTGAAGATGCAAAAGAAGATGTAACATGGTTTCTCGGGTTTCGAAAGGGGAGGTGGTAGTTTTCATTTAGGGAGAGAGGGGTAGTGAAGAAAGGAAGATGAAAGTATATAATTAAGAAACTAAATCATGGTGAAAGGACGAAAATGCCCTTAATTAATGGATGGACATAACGTTCGTTAGGACTAGGTACCATCGTGTAAGTAAATTCAAACGTTGAGGTTGCTTGTGTAATTTTTGGTTTGTAACGTGACTATTATCAGAGATTGAGAATACCACAAGGATGAATTATGTAATTTACCCTTTAGTTTAAAAGATTTTATTTGATTTTAATATAAATATTATTAAATAATTAATTAATACAAAAATATGTGTTTTCTTTTAACATGCAAAAACCACGCATTCAACTTCCCTCTACAAATTTAGGGGTGCTCAATAACCCGACTAACCCGATCAATCCAACCCAATTCAATGTGAAATAATTTAATCTGACGCAACCCGATGTCTAATTGAGTTATAAAATTGTCAAACCATAGGTATTGGGTTGATATTATTTGAACTCAACTCAACCCGATGAACCCAATATCCTTTTATTTCTTGAATTTAATATTAATGTTGAATTTCTATTAATATATATATATTAGAGAATTATACTATCATGTATGCTTTTCATATACACATATTTTCAATCTATTCACATATCTATATAACTCATTCATATATATGTTCAGTAACGGTGAACATATATATGTAAATTGAGAAAATTAACTGAATGTGATATACGTAAGAAATATGGATAAGTTGTATTAAATGGTTGATGATGAAAAAGAAATTATGAGTAAAAAAATAACATATTCCAGGTTAGAATAATATTTTAATGTACCAAAGTATCAACCCGACCAACCTATACGGGTTGGGTTGCACTCTGGTTTGGGTTGAGTTAGGTTAAGATTTTTCAAACCGCAAGCATTGAGTTGGGTTGTTCAAATGTCTTCAACCCGATCAACCCAACCCATGAGCACCCCCGGTTAGATTCACTTTCTAAAAGATGCCAAATGTGTATTCCTTGCTTATAATAATTAGAACAAACTTTCAATAAAAATAATTTTAAAATATAATTCATGTTTCTATGTCGTTCTTACAAAACCAGCAACCTGAATTGAACATTCTGTGGATTAAAAAAAGGTATTTAAAATATCCCATCAATAACACATGTAAAAGTAATTTGAAAGTATTATGTGGTTGTGTGAGGATGCCTTTAAAGTATCGTGAGGTAGATGTTGATTTTAAGAAAGCGTACGAATATTATGATTTTTCCTTTTGACTGATGGGAACAAATCAACAAATGAATGAATAAGGTGAGGGGTATTATCGGGTTTACATTAACAAAAAATAATATCCGTCATAAATTATATTCTATGATGATATATACTAACGTAGACTAAAACAATAGGTTGTTGACTAGTCTTTTCTTTATTGAATTATCGATTTCGTGTGTTCAGTTCAACCAAAGCCGATACTAATCATGCTATCAGATAAAGAATTACAAAACAGCAATTATCTTGTTTTTACGTAGTTTATATATGAATCTAAAGTCTTCAGTACTCTTTTTTTTTTTTATCATACAAGGATTAAAAAAGATATCATATTCGAATGAATGAAACTTTTGTAGCTCGTTATTTGTTAAACTTGCGATAGTTAACTAATCGAACAATATTCAAATTCAAACACAATAAAAATGCCATGGCATCTAACTTTGAGATTTATATGTTCAAGTGTAGATGCATTTAAATCGAACAAAACTGTAGAATAAATGGGTTCAAGTGGGAGATATTATGTGATGATTCTTGACCCCTCAATTTTATAAAAAAATCTTGCTACCTTCTTCCCATACCACTTCTTTCTCTAGCCATCAAATCAACTTGTGAATATATATGGAAATACTCATTTGAGAAGTGATAAATATTTGAGATGTAAAGAAGTTATCCAAACCCTTCATATAGTCAACATTTATGTAAAGAAGCACCGGATAATTTCTCGCAGGGCATGCGGAAGGTAGAGGGGTAGTTTCGTAACTTTTATAAATAGACGACAAATGGATTCATTTGTCAACCTATGTGATACACATATTAACTATATGTTCATATGTGAACTATTTAGCTGATTCATATATGAATCAAATAATTACTACATATATGAATTAATTAATTAGTTCATATGTGAATCAGTTGATTAGTTCATATGTTAATCACAAGGATTCATATGTGAATAAGTTAATTAGTTCATATGTGAATCACACGAGTTCATATCGAATAATTTAAAATAATTCATATGTGAATCGGTTAAAATAGTTTATATGGGAACTAACAAGTTCACATATGAACATATAGTTCATATATGGACCCGTTTGCTGTCTATTTATAAAAGTTATAAAATTACTCTCTTTATCTTTTGCATAGCTGCAATTTTTGACTAGTCAAAATAGTAATTATTGACCTGTCAAATCTGATCTTAATCGTATGAAATGCTAGGATCATTTTTTTTATTTCTCAAATATTTACCTTTTCTCAAAATAACTTTTGGCTATATATATACACACACACACACATATATATATATATATATATATATATAGAGAGAGAGAGAGAGAGAGAGGGGGGGACGAAGGATCATGTAAGAGTAGGAGTTAAGGTCAGAATGTAAGAAGAGATTTGGACATTTGATCAATTTTAATTCCAAAACAGCTCATGAATTGCGCTTTAGAAGAAAATTGATCTAGTATATCTAATTAGTATTAATCTAGTGGTTTTCTTTGTTGGTCCTAGAATGTAAAGATTTACATAGGATATGGGTTTGTCAGGGGGAGTTGAATACAAACACAATAAGTTTTCACTTTTAGTTCTATATTTTGTATTAAAATAAGAATTACAAATTTATTGTTGAAGCTAAGAAGCCAAGACCTGATCCTAAACAATCTAACTGATTAAAGTTTTGCTCCAATATGTGTTGGCACATATGATGTTGATTTTTTAAAATTAAATTAAATTTCTATTGGTTTTCGATTTATTAATTATTATATGATGATGTATATTTTTGTATTAAATTAAAATTCCTTGTGATATTAGGTTTATTGGAAAAAATGTGAGATTTAAACATGTGTAATGTCTCACATTTGATTTAAAAAAAACTTACACAAACAGGAAAAAAAAATTCCCCATTTTCCCGTTGGGGACGGGATGTGATCAAATTCCCCAACGGGGACGGGGACGGGAACGAGGACGAGATTGGGGTCTCCGCCCCATTACCATGCCTACTTATATCACGCTTTCAAAAACACTGCGCCCTTGCCGTCGCGCACAAGGCTTGAACCGCCTTGAAGCTTGCCTCGCCGCCAGACCTTACGCCAATTAGACCCTTGGTAAATAGTTAGCAACAAAAGGAAAAGAAAAACATAGTAGTAAATCGTTTATACTCGTATTGGCCTATTGGGTAATGGTTTACACTCGTATTGGACTATCAGGTGACGACTCACTCCCGTATTTGCTAGTGAATCCATGATCTCGACACGTATATATGCACACAGAAATAGTAAATCTTCCGACAACATCGTACATTATACGCAGGACCGACTAAAACACAACTAAATTCTCTAACCTCTGGTTCAAACAATCTTTTGGCAGCAAGTAATGTAGTTGCCATCCACTTTGCAACAAGCAGCTACAACCCTTTTATTCTCTCTTAAAGCTTTGCCAGCAATTAATGGCAACAATCTTCTCTACCTACACAACCATACTTTCACTATATCACAAAGGGCAAAAAGGTAAAAAACGACGACCACCTCAAGCTCGTGGGTAGCGTGACCGCCCTTTCTTCCTTAGAAACTCCGGGATTTCTACTGAACCACTTTCCGTGAAGGCTGGTGATCGTCGATTCATTCCAACCACATCTGCCTGACCGGCCTGCAATTTCACCAAGTTTATGATACAATTCCCAAAACTACCCTTTGATTTTTATTGAAGTTCTGGAGGGTAGAAGAAATATCAAATGGCATGGCCGTTTGTAAAGGGGTAACATGAAAATTTCGCTAAAAAACAGAACAAACCTGGAGATTCCGCCCATCACTTTCTTCTTGTCGCTTGAATCCGGTTGCTATAAGAGTTATGCTAACCTGTAAAAAACCAATAAGATCATTTTTTAGCTTTTACATTTCCGTAGTTTTTGCCCAAATCATTCTTTCTTGCAAACTCTTGTATTCTTTTCCGACATTTTCATGGCGATGGTTAGTTTGCAACCACAGTATGAAGGTTCAAAAACTCGATCACAAAGTATTGAACGAAATTGTGAAAATAAACTTACTTGACCACTTATTGATGGATCAATGACTGCTCCAAAGATCAAGTTAGCACTTGGATCCACAAGATCGTATATAACCTCAGCTGCAGCATTCACCTGCCATTCGACAGTAGATTAGAACGCTCAAGTACCCAAAATAAATGCAACAATTTCCTTTTTAACTAAAACGAACGAATCCAGTTAATCCCACGCAGACCCCAAAGAGTATATATATACAAACTACTAGAAAGATTGATTTCGTTAAATGTTGTTCTTCTATTTTGTCATTATTAAGGGGTCTATGCTCGGCATACGCTGCATTGACTTGGGGAGGCATATAGAAGTGTATCGGTGAATCTTTTCTTGGATGGTCAAATACACGGAGCTTATAATATCTAAAGAAGAAGACATGTAGAAGTGTAATGATGATGCAACATACATACACACATATACAGATGAAAGTTCAATTGCAAACCCTTTTTCCGTTGTGAACCGGGGGACAAAGGAAAGCACGACATGTGTCCTTGGTCGTCCACATTCATTATGAATAATGAACGAGATCATTCGTGATGAATGTTTTTACACCATGCATGATGAATAAGCCGTGAATGTCTGGGACACATGGCGCACTCTCCTTTGTCCCCCTGTTCACAACGGAACTTAGGTGTTCAATTGAACCTGCCCCTACATATATATATATATATATATATATACACACACACACATATACATATACATATACATATAGAAGGAGGTTCAAGAGAGAACCAATGCAAAAAGAGAACAAGAGAACCCCTACCAACCGTTGGTTTTAAAAAATATATGGGCAAGATTCAAATGTCACCGCCCCCTATAATCATGGATTTTGTTATGGCAAAATGTAACAGTCCTAGTTATTCACAAGCGTTGAATTAAAATAGATGGAAGGTTGGGATGGTTCCGTTGTTCTCCCTTTTTTAGTATTCTCTCTTGAACCCGCCCCTGTACACATACATATGCATATATATATACATATACATATACATATACGATATAGATATGTGTTTGTGTGTAGAGAGAGAGAGAGAGAGAGAGAGACCTCAAATAATGTCAAATCGCTACCACCAGTTATATTCCACACAATTCCAGTAGCCCTCTCGATACCAATATCTAGCAAAGGTGATTGAATGGCATTCAATGCAGCATCTCTTGCCCTAGTCTTCCCTATTAAGAAACAAAGATTAATGGAGCACCAAGGCGAACAACTCGAGAAACTAATTGCTGTAGTGAATTAACCACACTTTTACAAGCACCAGCTTTTATAACCGCTCTACTCTTTGGGGTACATCTTACCCTCCCCAGACCCCATATATATATACCAGGTTGGTTTGTTTTTAAAAGAAAATCTGACACGCTTAACCAGTAGTTTTTCCTACTAACCTGTTGCAGTTCCAATCCCCATTAAAGACGAGCCTGCATTTTCCATAATGGCTCGCACATCAGCAAAATCAACATTAACCAGGCCCGGAATCTGCAAATTTAAGCCAAATGTATAAATGAAATAGAAAAGAACTTCATAAACAACCATGGTTAAGACCAAATCAAACCAAATGATTCCAGTATATTCCACTCGAAAGTAGGGTATGGGGGCGGAATGTACAATGACCTGTCCTCTACCCCAAAAGGTAGAACGACTGTTTCCATGAAGACCCCCATCTTGTAAACGTGAAAATACCCACAAAATCTAACTTGTAAAAAACCAGTCATTCATGAATTTTATACCGTAATTATGTCAGAGATACCACGAACACCTTGTCTAAGAATATCATCGGCCAGATTAAAAGCTTCTGTTACAGGGGTAGATGGAGAAACCGCAGTCAATAACTTGTCATTTGGAATCACAATCAGAGTGTCTACGTTTTCCCTCAAAGATGCAATTCCTTCTTGTGCTTGAACTGCCCTTCTTCGGCCCTCAAACGAGAACGGAGTTGTAACAATACCAACAGTTAAAATACCCATCGACTTTGCGACCCCAGCAATTATAGGGGCCCCACCAGTACCTGTTCCTCCACCCATCCCAGCCTGCGCATAACGAAAATTAAAACTCGGAGTTGCTAATGTAACAAGGATAGGTTTATAAGATCAGCCACACATCAATACTACAGACATTTCCAAAATAAAGTGATACATTTTGACTTTCGAGATAATTTAAATTGATATTGTTTCTGTTATAATTAGCTACGAGTTTCAATGTAATTTCGCGAAAACTAGAAGAATCCATATCAACTTTCGCGTTGAAAAACGTCTTTTTGTGCTAAGATTTTGAGTGTATCTTTTGAAGAACAGAGGGAATAACCACCAATTCAAAAAGACACAACAATGAAAATGATGGTCTATGAAAGAATCTTTTTTGGCAATCATGGGTGTCGGGCCAGCTTCCACGCACCTCAACTGATCTCATAGGCCTTGAAGATAACAGCCACGAAAATCCCCAGTGACCCTGAGGAGACTCGAACTAACGGCCTATGGGGAGGATCCCAAGGCCTAGGCTTTATTTAGATTGGACACATAGTTGCATAAAAGTGTTTAACTAGCGTTAAAATATCCAAAACATCCCACAAGTATTTTCTAATGATTATGATAGGCAATTAGGTACTCTTCTGTCCCAAAATAAATGTCCATAATAAAAAAGGCACAGTCTTAGAAATGTGTAAGAATTACACTTTTTAATTAACTAAATGACAATTTTACCCTTAATAATAGAGGAGGTAATAAATTTCCCCATCTTAAAATTAAGGGTAGAATCGGGAAGTAGACCTTACTTTTGAAAGTGGACACATATTTTGGGACGAAAAGAGTAAATTTTACTTGAAAATTTGCCGAAAAAGGAAACATCACGATTGACAGCGGAAATTGTTGCACTTCTTGCTAAGCGAACACAACTACAAAGTACAAACCTCACTCTTACTTAATCTATCTATGTATCTATCTACAACCGTCACGATTAACCAAGACAGAGGACACACCCACCATGTTGCTCACTACCCTCTCTCACAAATAATCTATTCTATATTTGGATAGGAACATCCTACTTTGGTGAGGGTCCGTTGGTTGAATAACGTTCACACCAAAAAATTTAAATCCATAAACTTCTGACATATTTGAGAATGTCACCTCCATATACAAGAATGCCACTAAACTTGTCAGAACATTACCTTATGAAATGAAATCTCATTTAAGTTGAATGGCCCAAATAGTCCTTTTGGCGTGTGACTGAACTCTATTTCTTAATAAATAATTGTAATTGTACTTCATACACAAATGCATCTCTTTTATCATTTATAAACAAATACAATTCTCTCATTAACCCCCCCCCCCCTCCAACAACTCTTCTATGAGGCGGCAAAACGATGGTCGATGGTCACTTTGATTGCAACTCTCACCATCTACAATATGCAGAAAAGCTCTAACAAATGTGTCCAATCTTGAGATCATTGACGAAGAAAATCAATGCTTATTTGCAACTGTGAAAGTTTATAATAGAAAATTGCAAATATAATGTCTATAAAAGGCAACAAAAGAAAGAAGACTATCATTACTACAATATAATAATACGTACATAATAAAGATAATGATAAATGCACAAGAACCCAAAAGAAAGAGAATGTTCTAGCCATATGGTATTAATCTTATATTAGTAACAAATTGTTTTGTGCTCCGATATAGCAATAAAGTTGAAACAAACATAGCAATCTATTTGTCATACTTAAGAAATTGTAATCACCAAAATTGGAAAAAGATAGTTCACTCGGGTATTTGAGCTTTGTCTTATACCAGATATATCTCACCTGGAAGTAGGGTACGGGGAGGGTATGATGTACACAGATCTTTCCTCGACTCCTAGGCGTAAGGAGGGGTCATTAAGGTATATAGCCTTAAAAATGAGATTTTAATTCAATCCATGATCTCTTGACCTATTAAACGAAAAATCGCTTCATACTCATCAAAAGGTCATAGATTTAACTAAAACCTCATTTAGAGTTATATACCTAAAAATCTCATGTATAAAGAGGTTGTTTCCAATATGTTAACATTCCTAATTTATCATGATTGTATTGAAAAATGCTTTAAATGGTTTCACAGTTCAATTGTTTAAGTTCTTGCATAACTCAAGCATCAAATGGCATCCCTAATCATTATTACCTCACACGTTTCAGCATGTAGCATGTAAAAATAAAATAACAAAATCGGGAACTAACACTTGCAGGATCATGGTGGGAACCAACTAAATATGGTTTTCTTCGTTAAATGTTCCTATGATTCAAACCGGCGATCTTTATAATGCATTTAGAGTTATAAGAGAAGTAAACTTACGGTAACGAAAACCATATCTGAACCATAAACAGCTTCTTCAATAGATTCTCTGCTTTCTTTGGCAGCATTCATACCAACATCGGGGTTACCACCAGCGCCAAGCCCACGTGTCAACTCCTGCCCAATTTGCAATCGCTGCTCTGGGAAAACAGGCGACATTCTCATGGCTTGAACATCAGTGTTCACAATCCAAAACTCCACACCCTTCATTGCACTCTCAATCATTCGATTAACCGCATTTGACCCACCACCTCCAACACCAATTACTTTAATCTTGGCCTCGTTGTAATTACCAGAATTCGTTGAATCTCTCAAAATCTCAGTAACATTTCCACTCAAATTGTTATCCTGCCGTGGATTGATCACCGTGTTGTTTCCCTCACCTCTAAGCATAGAAACTTCTGGGTGCAAATTGAGAAACTGATCTTTGTTATTAAACTGATTGATGTTGTGAGAATTGGCCAAACATCTAATCTGGGCACCATAAGATATCTTGTGGCTCGTATTCAAAAACCCATGTTTGTCATCAGTCATCTTCAAGAAACTCACTCTTCCCAATCGAGTTTCCATTGAAACTCTCCCTCCAAATACAGTTAATACCCCCATTGAATTCCGAGTTTCTAAAGGAATTAACGATGGTGATATACTTGTTGCCATCATATGGCTCCTCACTTCCCAAAACGAATTTGCCTATAATGATACCTGTTCTTCAAGAAATCACAAGATGGGTAACTTGCAATATAGACGAAAAATTAAACCTACACAACCCAATTAAAAGACATGGGTAGAATGTAGCATAATCGCTAGTGATAAAAATTGAATGAGAAAACAGCAAATTCGACCCAGAAAACAGTAACCCTAAACATAAAATAACTTCAAATGAAAGATAAACCCCAAATGACAATTGGGTATACGCACGCATAGGAGATAGAAACACAAGAAACCCAATTGGGGTGTGTACGAAAAATGTGAGTAAATTGAGAGGATGAAAGCTGAAAACCTGAGATAGCTCCGGTGGAGCAAGAACGAAGCAGCAGCAACGTCGGAAAGCAATTTGCAGAGAAGAAAAAGGGGGGTTTTAATCTTCTTGTTGTTTTCTTACTCAAAATGGTTTTAATTTGCTAATTGTCATGTAATGACAGAGCGTGTTTCGCTTTAGGGAAGGAGCCTTTCATCGCATGATATCCTTATCGCCCATGCCTTTCATTGGTTGGCTACCTACATTTCTTTTCTTTTTCAAAATTGACATCTTATTTGTTTTTATTTTACTTCTAATTTCCTAATCAAACCAGATTTTAAAGGTCAAAAATACCAGGAGGTGTCAGGTTCAAATCCTAGGAGGAATAAAAATCCTAAATCAGGAATACAGAAACAAAAACGGCAATTGGACCAGAGAATGTCTTGTGGCCACGAAGGTTTAAATACGATGACTTTGGACTATCTGCAAAGCAGGTGGTTGTCATGGGATTAATCGGCTCGCATAGCGGGTTGGATATCCAGGTTAATAAATAAATAAATAAAAATTCCTGATCATGTTTGTATTTTTAGGCCAAATTATTGAAAGTCAAATGTTCGCTTTCAATGAATCAATATTTTATATCCAATTTTCGATTCCAATCTTACCCTTTATTTGCCAAGAACACGGCTACTCGTCTTAGACCAGATGTCGAAACTCCAATTCTGTCTGAAGTTGAAATTGGTAATCGGAAATCTACGCAAACGAAAAATGTTAGATCAACATGGATCCTAGAGGCTGATGAAAACTCCAAAAAAATTCACTCTTCGCTTAAAATGAAGCATCTCAAAAGCAACATTGTCGGGGTTTCTATCGGGGAAGCCAGAAAACTGGTGTGTAGGCCCTTCTTTAGTCAAGTCTGCGGCTTATAGCTGCTTTGGCTCAAGATCTGGAGAAGTTTGGACGGTTGGACTGTAAATTTGAAGACAATTTGTTCAAAGTCTGGACCCCGGGGAGGTTGATTTTCCTTGAGGCTAAGTTTTCGGAATTAGAGACCTTAAATGCCATAAATTTTTGGGATAGCTCGAAAGCACCCGACCTTGATGGGTTTAATTTTCGTTTCATCAAAAAAAATTGGTAACTCATGAAATCGGGGATCATAAATGCTGCAAATTGGTTTTAGGAAAATGAATCCTTTAGTCTAAGATGCAACTCGTCTTTTATTTCTCTAATCCCAAAGGTTCCGATCCAATCAACTTTGAGGACTTTAGAACGATAAGCTTAAATGGGTGCCTTTACAAAATTTTGACTTAATGTAGCCTAAAGTAGCTTGTTTGGCATAAGGCTTGGACTAATACACAAGGGGGCCAGACTGTACATTGGAATATATAAATACATATACACTAATACACCTCCGCAGTTTGAACAGAAGGTTGAGGATAGATGCTCAAACTGGAGCGAAAATCAGAAAACATAGATAAGTCTCCACCTTTGGACTCTCGTTTGTGTATCTGTGTTTTCAACGAGGCTGTTGTATCTGTATTTTCGACTTCTTGTTCTTATACAAGTCTGTTTCTAAATAAGAAGAGCTAATAAATTGGTGCCTATCAAGAAGCAAATAAAGGATCAGGGTCTACTTTTGCATGTTCAAATTATGATCTTGCCAAGGGACAAGAAGAAATTGGCGAGACGATGAAGATGAAATGGATGGAAGACCTTTTGGGACTCAAAACAATGAATACATGTCTAATTTACGTGATCAGATTGCAAATCAGTTATTGTTAATTGCGTCAAGTTAAGAATTGCTCAAAAACTACGATGTTGAATTTGGTTATTATGTTTTTGTTTAATCTAGAACGTAACTATACGATTAATATTATGTTTGTTTGGATTAATATGAAACGTTGTTTTGAACTAGTAATATTGAGTATGTAGTAATATTTGCAAAATAATTATTTTATTTAAATATTAACCAAACAACTATATTTCATTCATAACTAAATCATACAAAGGGTTAAAGTGGTAATTTGTTGTCGTTCAAACCGTCCATTCAAAACAACTATCAAACAACTACATTATATTTCATTCAAACTGGCCAACGGTGGCTACTGTTGGTGACAGTGGCTACCGATGGTAGTGGTGGCCGCGACTAGCAGTGGTGACCACTAAAACAACTATCATATTAAGATTATATATTAAACGAGGGTTAAATAGTTATATTTTAGTTTCTCTCTCATTCTTGTCCCATTTTGCTCCACCTATTTTGGTGGAATAAAAAGAGTCCTTTTTGTCCCATATTGTCTCAATTCTTGTCTCTGTCTCATGTCGCACTCGCACCAAACATGAGACAGTGAATTATCGTTCCATCAAACGTGGGACAGTGAGTTTTGTCCATCCCATCTCATGTACCAAACACAGCCTACACAATCTGACCTTTTAATCATTATGCATAAAACCATTCAGCAACCATCACTAAAACAATAAGTGAATGATGCGACTATGTGGGAGAGATTTTCTTTTAAGAGATTATTATCATAAATAACTATATGGGGATTTTTTCGCCATCTACAAAAAGAATATCACAAAATAGCCAAGAAACCACAAGTTAATAACGCTAGACATTTTTCTTTACGGTTTCTGACGTTTTTGATGCACCCAAATGAAAAATAAGTGCAACATAAAAAGAATTTGAGACACCCTAGCCTGCGGCACCATAAGGACATGCATCGAGCTGTCAACGCACAAAAAACAAGTCATCGATCTGTCAACGCACAAAAAACAAGTCAAAGTCGCAACTTCTGGCAACCTAAAGACACATCGCAACTTGCGACAACCTGCAAAAAAAAAGTATCTTGTGGCGCTGAATTAAGTTTACGGTCCATTTAGCCAGTCTCCGCTACCGAGTCCATTTGCTAACGGATCAAATCCAAAATTTGGCATAGTGGTAAGTTTTAGCTCAATTTTTCGATTTGTAGGGAAAAACGCAGCATCTAGAAAGGAAAAAAGCAGCTTGAAAAGGAAATCTATAATCACTATATAATTCACACAAGACTCAACGCAAGAAGCTAAAACTTCCAAGGGACTTTCGACTATACATTCAACCGACAAACCCGTTGCATCCTTGAGGTCCCTAAGTTTTGGCCTAAAACGGAAGGAAAAAAACCCGGAACCGCCTATATAATATATATTACATATATCCTCTATTATTCGAACTATATAAGTTTAGAGACGAAAAAAGTACTCATCTCACTCGAGGTTCTTCTGGCAATCAGGTCGGACAGCTCGAGCTTCTCCTCAACACTCGTAATTTTTCTTTCGCTTTTTGAGCTCTCGGCAGGGCTTTCATTCTCATGTCTTCGAAAAACTGCACAAAAGTTTCGATATTTCATTTACGAGCCGAGAGATAAATCAAGTTTTTTGATAACAGACGATCTAAAAGATGTCGACACCTGTTGTTTTCTTTTTCTCTCTATTTCTGCCTGTTGTGAAAAACAGTTAGAGTATTCAGTCAAAACTGATAAACTTAAAACTTGAGGGGGTGTAAGTGAATATTATTTGGTTCTCACCAGAGCTTGTTTGAGTTGAGCATTCTCCTCCTTTAACATGTTCAACTCTGCCTCCAATTCAACTGTGTAAGCCTGCCGGAAAATGGAAATCGAGATTACGATTGTGATATCGAGAGACGTAATAGGAAGACCCGATGATTTGATGAAAAGAAACGTACCTGTTTTCTAGCTCGAGATCTTGCAGCGGATTCTCGGTTTTTTATCATCCGCCTCTGCCGCCTCTCCACCACTTTCTCCACCGGACCGTCAATTATTCGTTTTCGGCCTCCCCTTATGCCGCCCATCTCCAATGCATACTGATTCCCGCTATCGAGTTGGCTGGTAGCTATCCCATCGGAAGACACCGGACTCACTGGTGATCCGATCCCCAACCCCTGCCCGTAACCACCGGCAACACCACCACCATTTCCTACCATACCACCGTAACAAGGTGGAGGCTGTGGTTGATAGGTACTGCTCCTTTTCCCACCTCCGGGGTAACCTTGTGCCTCCCTGATGAGTGGCGAGTATGGTTGGATAGTGGTGGCACCGCCGCCCGTGCTGACGGCCATCAGTGGCCTTATCACGTGGGTCGAGCCAGGCGGTGGCCCAACAACACGATTATTTCCATTTGGGTACAACCCAAATGGTGGTGGCGGTTGCTGCTGAACCGGCGGAGCGTTGGGGTGGTTTTGTTCTCGAACCACCCCCGCCTTCACTAAGAAATCCTCGAGAGTCATTTCTCCATACGTCGGCTGGCGTTGGGCGGAACCGGGAACTTGAACATTACTCGAGTTATTGCTCGGATGATGATCATGTTGCGTCTTTTGTATCTCTGACCACACCTCATCGACCGTTTTACGAGAGAGCGGGCCCAGGAGATTTAACGAGCCTTGTCTCGGCAAGCTTAGTTGTTTGACAATCATATTCGGTTCAGCGGCACCAGTGTTGACTCCCGTCAAGAATTGCCCGCTGCTGCTGGCACTGTTAGGAGCCATGGCGGCCGAAGTACTGACGCTGCCACCAGCAGTGGCGGCAGCCGCTGGGTGAACTTGGGCATGAGCCTGGTTTTCTTCCGCGGTCCAAATGCTGTTGAGAAACTCGTCCATATTCATCGATCCGAAGTTCTTTCCGCTCTCGCAAAGAGTGTGTTGAAACTCATCCAAAGTGAGGGAATAGATGGAGGATTGCCGGCCAAGCTGCGGTAGGAGGGCATTATGGACATTGTTCCTAGGTTGGTGTTGATCGGATTGCAATGGAGATTCAACTTCACCGGGAGACATGATTTCCGAGTCTGGGACCACCATCTGTTTACGGTTCAGCTAGTCTCGATCGGTTGAAATGAAACTCGACTGTGGATCGGAAGTCAACTATACATCAATTTTGAAGTCATTCAACTATCGAAAGAAAACAAAAGCACAATTAAATTTCGAGCAACAAACAACAAATCGAACGAAACGATCTTCATGTGACGTTTACTTATAGATACGGCCAAATCTTGTCAATTGTGGTACAAAGTGCAACCAATGTGGACCGTTCGATCTATTGTGGGCTAATTCCGATAGACAACTTGCAAGTAAAGGATCATTTTTCATTGAAAGGGTATCCAAAGCCATGCCTAGGCTAATCCGGACAAATTGCAACCGTAAGACACCAGCTTTGATAAAAGGTTCATTTTTCATTAAAAGGGTATCCAAGGCCACTAATCCATAAAAATTACGACCGTAAGACATCAACTCTGCTAAAAATAAGGGTTGATCCTACCATGATGCAATTGAAAATAGTGTAAAACAGTATTAGAGGTTGTTTAGCAGTTGCTGAATGATTCGGTACAGAAAGATTAAGCGGTCAGAATAATCAAAACACTCTTATAATATAGTGTAAAATGAAAATATAATAGTTTGATAATTATTCAGAATGAAATTGGGTTGATGAATGGTTCAGAGATGCCCAAGATACAAAATCATTCAGAAGGTTTTAAAATAGCATATTTTTTTCTTGTCAAACACGATTCACCTCTTAACGATTCAGAGACTGGCTCTTAATAAAACTATTAAGAGGTAAACAAACAACCCCTAACCTATGAAATTTCATCCCATTGATTGGATCTGACCCCGGATGCGAAATCGTTCCTTAGATTCATCTAATTTAAAATCCTATAGATTTTTTAAAAAACCCCGATCTTTACGTAAAACTCGGTTACATAGGTCTTATCAAATCGACCGTAAATTGCTCGGTTAAGCATTCCATAAATAGAAACCCCCTCTCCTCCTCAACCCACCCCCACCGAAAAAATAATAAGTGCACCGCTTGATGTGAACTATTCACGCTAGTTTGTGCGAACCTCAACTAATCCCAAGGGTCCGAAGAACAGTCAGAAAGATCCCAGTGGCCTTACGAAACTCAAACCTGTATTATACCTTATTGACAGGTTAAGCTATACCCTTATTGTTTTACTAATTCAGCTGGTTAAATAATCAATCAGCCAAACACCCTTATATGCAATCAAGATATTGAAACCTATGTAGAATCAAACACCAATTAATTCAAAAGATTCATGAAAACCATTGAAGAAGCATTGATTATAAAGGTTCAACTGCATGCATTATATATATATATATATATATACCTCTTCTATATATGGCGGCAATTAGTAGATCTAATCCCACACTTCTGAATCTTTCAGACACTTCATAGCTGAATTAAACCTGCTCAAAACTTCACAATTATAAAACAATTAATTCCCAGAAACCACCATTAACCAACTACTGATCCAGTAGCTACCAACTTCATATATATATATATATATAGAGAGAGAGAGAGAGAGAGAGAGAGAAAGTTAGAGAGAGAGAATGTGAGGGGGGAATTGGAGTTGCAGAAAGTTGCAGTGGTGGTGTTGAAGGCAAGGAAAGCAAAGGGTAGTGGGACCCAGGTGAGGGTAGAAAGGTCAAATTTGAGGAGTTTATTGGAGCTCACATCAATGGAAGATAGATGGGACTGGGAATTCCATGCAGACTTCAGTGAGGAGAAGAGAAGATGATAGGGAGAAAGGGTAGTTTTGGGAATAAACAAATGTTTTCGATTGACACGTCTTGGACAGGTGTCTGCTTCATAGCAGCCTCGGATTCTGAAACTTGCCTTGTTTTCTTCCACGTGTCCTTCCTGTTTCAGACGACGGCTTCTTTTTTGTTTCGTTCTTTTTTAATATAATATCCTGTGTTCTTGCTAATTTTTGGAGTATATTACGATTTTCAGTTTTGTTGAATTAAAATCATTATTTTGGAACTACAAGGTGGTGTATGGTTGATTTGAGCTTAGCTTCAAAGATTAAAAGTATTAGGAGGTTTTAGGTCCAAATCCAAAAGAGAATAAATTAAAAATCCCTTTGTGGCCACGGAAGTTCAAGTACGTTGACTCCAAACTATCTGCAAAACAGGTGATCGTCTTGAGATTAATCGGCTTGCATAACGGGTTAAATATCCAGGTTAATAAAAAAATCGTTATTTTGGTCATTATATGTTTAAATTATGATTTCTAGTTTTATGGTTTATAATTTATTTTTATGATTTATAAACTATTGACTTTTATATTTTTTTAATATTCCAAATGATGTAAGATATAACGTGATAAAAATGTCAAGTTATAAGTTAATGACAAGATTGCAACTTTTTTAAGGTGCATCCTAATTTAACATATATATATATATATAGGGGCAGGTTCAAATGCGAACCGTCCAATTCTAAAAAACCGTGTAAACCAAATTCGACCAATAAAAAAATTCCATTTGTTTTCAATTAAATTTAAATAATAAGGGTATTTATGACATTTTGTACACATATTTCGTAATTATGGAAGTTATTAATTCATATTATATAAAGAAATTAAATAAAATAAATAYTGAAGAAAGGAAACGTTTCAATATATAAGGAAATTATATTATTAAAATCATTATTTTAATGATAACTATAATGAATAATGAAAYAAATTATGAAGATTTCATCAAATATATTGATGAAATCGTGGGTTGCTGCAGGTGAAAAAAAAAATATTCATTACACTCTATAGTCATGAAAAATGTTTCATGTGTGTTTCATGTGTAAATGACTTATATTAGTCTTCAAAGCATATTATATATATCAATGAAACATTGTCATGATGTAAAAAAAATTCATATTCTAAGAGATGCAAGATTCGTGAAATGAGTTTAGTAAAATGAAACAGTTTCATTTTCGTAATACATTTTTTCATTTTATAWATGATTCAATATATAATAGTGAAACAGTTTCATTATATTGAAAATGGAATTAATGATAATGCAACACTTTTGATGAGCAAAGGTTTCWKTAYRAAATAGTTTATGAAAGGGGTTGATGTTGGTGAAACAGTTTCATTTCATATTTGACTTAAGGCTGAATAATTAGTTTCATGATGAAACAGTTTTATTTAATTTTATATGTTATTAAGGTTCAT